AAATGGGGCGCTCCGTATGCTAGATAGGTGCTAGATAGATGCTAGAGGTCACAATCCAGAGCCGGAGCGCAGTAAGTTCAGTCAAACGGCTCGCGCCCAAACGGCTCGCGCCCAAACGGCTCGCGCCCAAACGGCCCGCGCCCAAACGGCTCGCGCCCACACGGCTCGGCGCCCAAACGGCCCTGCGCCCAAATGGCCCGCGCCCAAACAGCCGCGCCCAAACGGTCGCGCCCAAACGGCTGCGCCCAAATGGGGTGCACCGCTATGGGAGATCTCGATTTCTATTCGTGCAAGCGCGGCTAGGGCCTTGCTAGGTTCCGCTGAATCTTACTCTTGTCCTGATCACACGAGAGATGCAAGGGCGTAGACTTATTTTTTTGCTTACATGGCTCTGTGAATGTGAGAGACATCCTGAACAACAGCGAGACGACCAGACCGGTTTGTCGTGCTATGGGATAGATCCAGCTGTGCTTATTATGCCTTCCTTGAAAAAATAGCGTGAGCACCTGTCCGAGCGTCCCGTAGGCCCTCAAAGCGTGAGGTTCGCCGTGCGGCCCGTGTTCTATTCCCCGCCTGACTTGTCTTGCTTCATTTTCTCTACTGGTTTTCGTTGATACTCGGCGTGATGGCCCCCCGTCTGCTCCAACGGAGCTCCGGTGTCATTACGAGCGAACGAACGACGACAACAGCGACGGCTGCAGCAGCCGGGCGTAATTCCGTATTATTATGGCATTTAACTTGATCCACCTGGCATCTGGCATAAGAGTCCGAGGGAAAAACGACAGGGAAAAAGGAGGAAAAGGAGTCGAGCGAGAGACCTCTCGGCAGGATGACGATAGCGGGAATGAGGGAAGCTATTGACTCGCTAAGCGTCCGCCACATTACGTCGGGATGCTCGTTGGGGGATGGAGTCGATTGCATTCTCATGGACCTCTTCATGTACGTATACCGGATCATGCCCCACAACAGGAGATCTCCCAACCCGGACCGGGGCCCCTCCGGTGACTTCAAGACTCCAGGGCCGAAGCATGAAGTATAGAATCGATCGGGAGCACTGAAAACGTGGAGCTCATCTCGTCCTCACAATAAAGTGTGCCCCGAGCTGCTCCTCGGAAGCGCCATGAAAAATGTTGAGGGAGGTCTCTACGGGTTTGCTTTTTTTTTTGGGAGGGAGGGAGGAGGGCGGGCGGACGGGCGGGTGGGCGACATAGCACTCAAAAGCCGAATATCCGCTCTGAAAGTTTCTTTTTCCGCAAAATCATGTTTGCGCGCCTTTCTCCTCGAGTGTGATACGAGCTCTCCGAAATATTTTCCGTCTCCCCTCCTTCCGTGCTCCCTCAGAGACAGGGTGGTCAAAGTGGACTCTGCAGCGTCCGAGGGAAAGATCCGCCCAAGGAGGCAAAATGTTTTTGTTAGGAGACTCATCAAAGTCACAGCTCTTGTTCAAGGGGCGTGGAGAGGCGTATGGAAATAAGAGCAGCAGCAGAAGATAAAACAGTGTCAACGAAGGAAGAGAAGACACTTTCTACAGAGCTACCGAGTCGGCGTCATCCGCGAGCGCTAGCCGAGACCAGCATGATGGCATCCTCCTTATCACGTCGTAGAATTTACGCTCAACAACATAATACTCGAAGGCGAAATTAATCGACACGGATTAGGAACGCGAAATCTCCGGGCCCCAGGATATCTAAATGATTCCGACGGATTCATTCGTTTCGCTCACTTCACTGGAGAACGTGAGCGTGACTTGCAACTGAAGTCACCGGGACCGATCTGTATCTGCGCAGCTCTTCCCTCCGGGGGAACGTCGAGATCCAGTCGAAATTCAAATCTCTTCCTACTTAGCTCAGTGATGATTCGGAGCACGCGTTCGGCGCATAGACTTGGCGTACGACCGTCGTGCCGAGCTCCTCGCTGCACGACGGCGATATCATCCTGTGCATATCTTAACTTATCGTTTTCTCGAGCCGGCGCCTATCTCTTCTACGTCGACGCATGGGCCGTAGTACGTGGCGAGATTAGCTGTTGATCCAACTCCGAGGCGGATAACGTATGCGCGTGCCATGCTCCCTTTCATTTTGAATCGGACGCTCGCAATCGCGCAGAGCCACACGGTCAGTCGCTCGAGTCCCATCCCTGCAATCCGGAGACCTCGGAACTGAAGTTCCTCAAACACTTGATGGCGACGACCTCGATTCCGATCGGGTCCATCTGGCTGCCGACTATCTCCGAACATGCACGTCGGGGATGTCAAGCGCCTTCGCGCTCGACATCTGAAGCTCATCCTTTGCCGTTCGTCAGGCTTCGCTTGCTAGCGGCCATGTTGTAGCAGCTGAAGCTTCGCAAAGAGCCCGAGCAAGTGGTGCGATCATCATTGCCGAAGTGGTCGGAGCTCGAAGAGACTTAAACGTCAACTCGAGGATCCCTCATCCGCTGCCCGATCGGCTCCTCCGTCGCCGTCCAACTGGATCCGGCCGACTCAAAATCCGTCGGATCTGACTCGACTCAAATGTCGACTCGGCGGCGACCTCTGCGGGAGAAGCCCACGCTGTTTGGCCTGTTGAACTCGAATTCGAAAATCGAACGGGATCGAAGAGAACGACAACGATGATGACGACGGCGGCGAATCAAAGGATCCGAACGCGCTCTCCGACAAGTGAGCTTCGAGTGTTCGATTCATCTTCGACCTCTTTTTAAGTCCCATAATTCCCGTTTCTAGGGCTCTGCCTTTCGCCTCTCTCCGACGGCCTGCCGGTCGGCCGTTTTTCTCTCCCGTCGCGCCGGTGTCGTTCGCTGTCCCCTCTGCGTTCCCGCCAATCCGTCCGTCTCACCTCTCACCGAGATGGCCTTTCGGGAGCGTTGGTGCACCTAGGTCGGCGAGCCCTCTCGTCGTCGTCGTCGTCTTTGTCAATCTATTAGTCCGTCGTTGTTTCGGTTTTCGTCAAGACCGTCGTCTCTACACTTGACGGACGTCGCTTTTGAAATGTTTTCGAGTGCTTCTTTTTTTTTCGCTTCCGGGAGCGACCTCCGTCCTCCTCTCGGGTTTCTGGGGCCATCGAAGACTCCGGGTACTCGAAATTATCTCCAGGACAGGGTCGCGAGAGGGACCCCGATTTTCTCAGCCTTGTCGGGGTTGCGCACGTTCGCTGAATGTGGGTCATTCGTTCTGAATGTCGCTAGCGAGTGCGCATTGAGATCGGCCAGCCGGCCAAAAGGGATGGGCTTACGAAAGTCTCGGAAAATGTCCGGGGAGATCGTGTCCGAATCCGTGCTGGCCCCTTCATGCTGTCCCTCGCTCCTTCGTTCCCCTCAATCTTTCTCGCACTCAGGAGCGGGTCTCGAGTCTTTGTGACTCCATTCAAAGCCTCCATGTCCTCCAGGCAGCCAGTGCAGAGCTCTCACAGGGTGAAATACCCTTTGAATTCTTTGAAAGGTCTCCTGCGCAAATTTCCAATCGCTTAGACCGAATAGGCGGGCTGACGGTCGTTCGGCTGGCTGGCTGGCTGGCCGGCCGGCTGGCTGGACGGCCAACCGGTCAGTTCGACGGTCGTCCGTTCGCTCGTTGGCTCCTTCAGCGGCTCAGACGACTGATCGGCGTGGCGGGTCGGCGCGACGGGTCAATGGCGGGAGTGACATCGTCGTCCGTCGTCGACTCAATTTAATTTTCAACTCACCCCAATTCGAATGAAGAACTGCGCATTCAATGGACAGCGATCGTCGGCCCTCTCCGCGGAGCCATCAATCCGACGACCCGTCAATCCACGGCGCTGTCCACTCGATCGCCGATCACTCGATTCCTCGATGAACGAATCACTCGGTTCCACCGTTCCGGAGCACCGTCAGAGCCAATAGTGCCAGGCAGACGGCATATTCCCTTTGAGCCGTTTTTGAAGCCTTGGGTCGACTACGTGGACTTGGGTCGATGTTGTACGTAGATGAACGTAGATGTTCCTGCCTCCGCTGGCGTCAGATCGGGATACCTCGAGCCTCCGTGCTCTTGAGGAGTTATTGGGGCTTTTTCTCGTCGAGATCATGACCGCGTCCAGTGGTCTTCCCGAGTGCGCGCGTTATTACTCTGCATTAATACTCTGATGGGTCATTAATGACAGCGCTAATTCCATTTGTTTCCGTGGCTCCTTATTCCTCCAAAGATTAAGGGACGTTCGCTTATATACTTTCGGATGAAAGAATATTCGCGGATCCGAATCCCACCTGATGGTGCTCAACACTCTCCGAATGAGAAGTGTTATGCGGAGCGCAACCCGGGGACAATTATTGACATGCTCAGATATCCAGGATTCAAAGACAACGAAATTCCCATAGTTCCCCCTTCCTAGCCCAATCTCAGCACGGTCTGAACGTTAGGCCCTTCGAGCTGACGATCGTCGCGAGACGCCCGAGATTTCAGAACCGAGGATCGGAGTCGTAAGCGGCGAATCGCGGGAGGCTCATTGAACCGAGTTTAGAAGACAGACTAAACTCGGAAGAGACGGTTGCTCCACAAGCTGGCAACCGGATGGGGGTAGACGGGCAGGCGGGAAACGAAAGGGGGAGCGTCCGATGGGCTCAGAAGAGCTTCTCGTGCGTCCCACGGAAAGCTTTCGCCCGCCCGCTCTTCCGATACCCATCCGCAAGCCAGTCAATTCAACCAACCGCAATCGAGATAATTAAAGCGCAGTTCGCGTCGATTTAATCAGCAGATCTCGTCCTTGTGAAGCTTCACCCTTCGTTTTCCTGTTGGTTCGCGGTTCGATCGGCCAGCCGATCGATTGCCTGGTTAGTCGACTGCTCCCCCGACGGTAGCTTGTCCCGGGAGTTGGCGCTTCGAACTTGGACGTAGACCTCCGGAATAGAGTCGTCGATCCCGATGCCGAACCCGCCCCGGATACGCGAGAATCGAGAAGAGTGCGCTCCTCAGCTCATAGCCGATCGCTCGAAGCGGCTCAAGGACCTCAGCAAGCAACAGCGGGTCGCGGCAGATAAGCAAGCGAGCCGGTTCCGTACAGGTTCCTTTCGAAACGATGCAGGCTTGCACCCACCTGCTCGGTTCTCTGCTCCGCTACCTTTCATTTGGGGTTTGTTTCTCTCTTTGTGGCCATTGCTTCACCCTCGGCTTGGGGAATTGCAACAGCTGCAACGCATTGCGGCCGCTCGTGGCATTTGGAGAAAGGAAGACAAGCAGCGAAAGTTAGACCGGGCTAAGGAGGATAAGAGGAGCAAGAAAGTCTGTTCGTCAGTCAGTCGATCGGTCGCTCGGACGGACGGACGGACGGACGGCACAGCAAGCGAAGACGTAGCGACGAAGAAGTGAAAGATAGAAACAGCCTATTGCACGAACTGATGACCCGGAAGAGATGAATCGCAGTGATTTTTACAATGAACATGTCATCTGGAGAACGGAGGAAATGAAACCCGAGATCCTCTCATTTGTTTCCTCTGGTTGGGAACCAGAGCGGACAGACTCCCGCTATACTCGAGTTTGTCGATAGATGGCTTTCGCTTCCATACCACGAGGAAATACAGGGTGGGAGAGAAAATATCAACGAAAAAAAACGCTCTTCGTGCGGAATGCCCCGCTCGTAATTGAACCATAATGCTTCCCGCGGTGGGGGAAGGGGGAGGGCGGGGAAGAGACTGAGGAGAGACTCCAATGTGCAGCAGATTCGGGGAAGCGACGGAAGCGGGGCGGGATTCGGCAGAGAAAATCGGGATAAGAACGAAGGGATCATCCCTGGACACTGACCTGAGCATGATCGATAGGCTAGGATCAAAAGCTGACCTCTCTCACGAGCTCACGAAACTTTCAGCCCCGCTCCGTGCCGAAATTCTGCCCCGGAAGCTGACAGTGCGCTCGGGAGACGACGTGACGGTCAACTGTACTCACCGAGGGGGACCCGTCCGCGAAGTTCGATGGCTTAAGGACAACAAATCCCTACAGAACGATCATCGCGTGCGACTTCTCGGACGTTTGGTGCTCCACATCAGCTCGTTTCGAAGAGCCGACACCGGCATGTATCAATGCTTTGTAAATAACGAGGAGGACTCGGCGCAAGGTCACGCGTACTTGCGCATCGAAGGTAGGTTCTTTCGATTTTCACTAAAACTTTTTTCGAATATGAGGAGTGTTTTCCATAGAGACGTTCGACGAGCAGACAAGTCCGTGCGTCAGCACAGAGTTTCTCGCGGAGACTCTAGTCCGGATCGTCCCAATCGATCCGGTTCATTCTAGGGCGAAAATTCTAATCGCGAGGAAGGCTCGTTGACGCTTTGCGCGAATCATGTGCGCGAGGAGCCAGGAAGGGGCCGACAGAGACAATTCTGAATGGAGGAATCTCAAGTTTCTGCGGGAAAAGGGGCTCGCACAGCGTTGCAACGAGCAGAGTGACTGGGTCACGTCAGCCGCACAAGACCCTCTCGAAGGGGGGGGGGGCATCCGTACACGACTAGAGATTTTCTGATAGCGTTCCATGTCCGTCGGCTCGGATAACAAGAATAATTTAGAGAGCTAATGAAGTGGAGAGATCATGCATCCATGCATCCATCCTGGCCAACTGCATGCTGTGTGTTCTGGCGGTTGGTTTACTCACAAGCCGATGGCTCTGCAAACTCGCTGAAGTGGTCTTAATGAGACAGCGGTTCGCACTCTCTCGAGTGCGAACGATTGATTGCAGTCGGCATTCGATTGCGTCCGAGCACGCTCATTCTAAACACTTTGGAATCGATGATCGAGAACTAGCTTCGAAGTTCGCATCGGAAACACCAAACGTCTCCAAGACTAGTGCAAACCTCTTCGGTTCGGCGAACGAATCGATCCTAGAGACTTATACTCTCTGGGATCGAAGCGACGAAGCGATCAACTGCCTCGCTGTTTATCACACGGAAAGGAACGGATAAGTCAGCGATCTTTTCGTCCCACGCAGAAATCCATCCGACAATCCGGGAAAAGTTCATCGGAGGGAAATTCAAGCCGCGGAGCGAGATCTCACTGAAATGCCAAGCGACGGGCTCGCCTCTGCCTCAACTGTCCTGGCTCCTGGACGGTAATCCGTTGCCGGAAACTAGAGACATCAACCAGGGTGACTTCGTTCAGCCCGACGGAGCATTAGTAGTCAGCTTCGTCAACATCACTTCAATGAAAGTAGAGTACGGAGGAGATTATACGTGCATGGTGAGTACGGTTCCGTCTCCGACGATCAAGTTTTTGTGCCGTGAGTGGGCCCCGAACACGAGTTCGTCCGCCATCAATCGTAGCGGGGGAGTTTGATTTGGCAAACGAAATTATTTGACAGGCAACAAATGACGTCGGGACGGCGATTCACACGCAGCGCATCAACGTCGAGGGAGATCCCTACATACGGCCCATGAAAGATTTGACAGTGGTCGCCGGTAAAGAACTCAATATCAAGTGTCCCGCAGCCGGAGATGTCGCATCGATGTTCATCAAGAAAGGTATCACAATGTCTATCATTAAATGCGAATTATTTTGCGAATAGTGATGTCAGATGCAAGAGCGTCGGCCCGGAGATTGTCCCCGAAGAATTTCGCCTCCTCTCCGAAGAATCAAACTTCTGATCTCGCGATATCAGTCGATCACGGAGCGCCCCACTCTGAGTTCTCCCTCCGAATCTGTGGCCTGGAAGTCGAGGACGCTAATAGCTCTGTCCCGGAAAATTCCCGGCTTTGAGATCGGATGTCGGCTCCATCAAAATGCTTTCACGGTCATGAGTATTCGGGTCAGATGCCCAGATACTCGAATAGGCCATTGTCATGAGGATGTCTACTGTCTACAAAGTCCCCGAAACGAACCCAATGAGAAAAGACCAACCGGAGGAAAGGACCAAATATGGAGTGTTATACTAAAAAAACCGACTCGAGGGGTTGAAGTTCGTCGGACCACAAAACAGAGCGAAAGTCACCCGCAGCAATATACATAAGACGAATATTTCGCGAGTCTCGGAGGGATGACAGATCCGTCTGAAGATTTTCTGCAAGTCAGCCGGATAAAATTCCTCTTCCCGCGATACAAAAACGATTGTCTGGCTCGAGGTATTCCACGCAGGGGTTTTAAGCGGAAGGTTCGGGCTGGAAGGTCTTCGGAAGGTCGATGCGGGAAGGTCTCACTCAGAAGATGCAGACAATGGCAATCGCTGCAACCTCAGAAGTAGTCCAAGTGGCTTTTATGGAGCGACGGCTTCCTCGTCGACTCGCTGGCCTGCTGGTGTTCTTTTGAGCAGACTTACGGACAGACCAACAAGAGGACGCAAAAAACACGACTGGGCGGGCGAGCGCTCGTAGCGTCGGCCGAGCTCCTTCTGCTTTTTTCACCGAGCGGCAACTTAAATTGCAAAGTTTTGTCAGACGTCTCTTCTTGCTACGCTCCACAGCAGAGTGTCGAGGGAGCGACAGCTCTTATTCCGTCTCTTTCTGTGAAATTCCACAATAAGCGCAGCAACTGCGCTCGGAGCGACCGACGTCAGGACTGAGGAATGTACAGGTTCCGGAAACGCCGATGGAGCGCCGAGGTGGTTTAAGCTCTAACATATTGTTTTCGGAATAGTGTCTGGGTTTCGTTTCACTTTTCGAAGGGGACAGCCATCATCGGGAGTTTCTCTTTGCATCGGACCGTTTGTTCAGCCGATAGTGACACGGTCCGGATCGAGTTCGGTGCTGAGAACACGAGTCCGCTGACCCCGGACGATTCTCACCTTCGCCACCTGAGCTCATACTCTCGAGTCTGCAACATTCTATGAAGTGCCTTCACATTCATGGCGAAAGTGTGGAGATCAGAGGAGGCGGTCTCCGATAAGCCTCGATTCTAATACCACTCGGTCCGAGACTACGTGCGTTGATCGGCGGCATCATTTCGTCCGATGCATCGTCTTCACAGCATGGACACTAGACGACAAGTTTGCGACCCACCCACGGGACGTAGAGGCCACTTATCATGCCGCTTGCTCGAGCGTGGTTATTGGCACTCAACTCATCCCACTGCCGGCCATGAATGTTGTATCTCGTCCGTAATGATGCAGCTAGCGATATCCCTGACTGACTGAGAGCCTCACACGGCCTCGCCTAACTGGGATCTGTGAGAGTTTTGCCTCCATCCCAGAAGCCTACACCTGATCTATTCAGATTGACGACCGACAGCCTCCTCTCCCTCGAGTGCCGGACAATACTTCGTTCGCACGATCTCTGCCTTCTACGGCCTCCTCCTCCTCGCGGGTTCGGTTTAGTCGTCGGAATTTCTATGGATCGGGGAATTTTGTTTAGCCTCCTATGCACTCTCGTAGTCTCGGTTGGTCTCGTCGGCGTATAGAGATAGTCGAGCATTAACTTGATTAATGGATGCTCGGTCAACAGATTTGCGGCATTTATTCTCAGTCAGTCATTCATTGTGCGTCAAGCAGTTTCGCCGTTGCGACCGAACGAGATGGTCAGATAATCCTCTGACCGCCATCACGGGACTTATGCACAAAAGGTCACTGAATTGCAGACATTACGTTTAGCTGCGATATCATCCACTTTCAGATAATCGGCTCATATCGAGAGAACCCCGCTATGGATTAGCGGAGGACCGGAGCAGTTTATCGATCCATGAAGCGAGAAAAGACGATGCCGGAGTTTATACCTGCATCGCGAAGGGTTACAACTCGAAAAATGCCTCCAGAAGCGTCATGATCACCGTCGTATGTGAGTATCTACGTCAACCGATCTCTTGATCGATAATAATTAATGCTTTATTCACTACGACTGGGACTTCTATTTGGGTTTCCGCGAGGATTAATTCAACAATTCTAGAATCCTCCCCCGATCGACTCGAAGGCACGACGACATTACGCGACTTTACGCGAACCTGTCATAATTTCGATGCGACAACGCGACGGTCGCCCACCCAATGACTGATTCTGAAAGTCATTCGGTCATTTGACTCTCATTCCCTGAGGGTCGGATCAAAATCGGTCAGATCGCCAAACAATCGAGAAGCCCAGCGAGAAGCACTGCGATCGTATTAGTGGTCGCATCAGCGGGAAAAACGCGGGAAAAAGTTGAAAGACATCCGTAGGTACAACATCAATGACTTGGCGGCCAGACGAGACTTCCTCAATGGCTAGACTGCATTCCGAGAGGCAGATGTTGCCGTGTCGTTTTCGTGTCCAAAACTACTGCTGTGACCCGTTGTCCTCTCTCCTGAGTCTGCACTCTTCTTTTGCTTCATTCGTCCTTCTGCCTCCCGGACGGGCGGCGTGGCTGTGAGCTTGTTCTCACACCGACCAGCAGGAACAATGGACCACCAAAGAGACACTGCAGTTAGAGCAGCCGCAGCAGCAGTGGGGGCGAAGGAACACGGTCCAGCAGAAATGATGGAGGGACCAACGACGGCCTTTAAGCCACGGTTTGTCTTTACAGCTGCGCCTCAAATTTCACCGATCGTTTTTTCTGACAAAATTCACGAGGGGATGAGGGCCATGGCGTCGTGCAATATCATCGACGGTGATCCTCCGATGCGTGTGTCGTGGTGGAAGAATGGGCAGCCGCTGCACGACGGCCTCGACGCGGGCAACGTGCAGGTCAGCAACCCCTCCGAATACTCTTCGTTTCTCACGATCAAGAACGTCACCCGTTCGTACACCGGTAATTACACGTGCGTCGCGAACAACAACGCCGCTGTGTCAAACTTCACTGCCATGTTACTTGTCAAAGGTAAGACGAGGAGCCTTCGAACACCGCTGGAAGGGGCGGAACGAGACCACGGGTCGGTAAGGGTTCGGGGAGGGGAGGGGGGGGACGAACCGATGGAAGAGTTCGCAAAACCAAGGGAAAAACGAGAACCGCACTGACATTTCGAACTCGCAGAACTGACAAACTTTAGAGAGCCGCCTCCGGCCAAACATCAGTGCATGAGTGGTCATGTGGTGAGTCTCTGAGCTACTGGGTCCGTCAGCCCGTGCGTCGGATAGCTCCAACAGCCGCGTTCGGTTCTGGGGAGCTTGACAAGCGTTCCTCGAGGGCGTTGGCTTCGCGGCAGGAGAAGCATAGGGATGGGACTCCACGGACCGAGCGGTAGATAACTTTCGCTTACAGTCATTGGGACGCTTTTTCTTTTGCAGCTCCCCCGCGATGGAAAATTGCTCCCAGAGACATGTCGGCAATCATGTCCACGTCAATAACTTTCGATTGCCAAGCTGAAGGAGAGCCCGAACCTGTCGTCCGATGGAAATACGCCAAAGGTCAGTGAGTAGTGATCATTCGTAGGCAAAGCTCGCGGCATGCCAACTCTCTCGACGAGCTCGGAGTGAGAGCCCCGGAGGTGATCAGGAATATCGTGGCTGCTTTCAGAATTTTTCCTCAGTTCGAAAGTCGAAAGTGAGATTTATCGCGGTGGGGATTTCGAAATTATCCATTGACACAGAACTCGGTCAATGGGTTCCTTTTTGGGAGTTCTTTGAATACCGATGGATCTTCATTTTCGGCGGGGCGAGAAAGACGGCTCACTTCGGAAAGTTTCAGCCTCCAGATACTCGAGTGGAAAGGGAGCGCCGATCTAAATAAAATGGTATTGTGTCGTAACGTGTTGTGCGAGGATCAGAAAAGTATTCGCTGGGTCCTCGAAGCGAGTCTAGTCGAGTCGAGAGGTCCGCAACACGAACCACGTTTGGTGATGAAGTGCGCGTACTCGACGAGGCCCACCCGGTGATCAATCTCATCGATTGGACCCAGAAGAGGGGGGCCGCGCCCTGCTGCGGACCAATCGGGGGGAGGGGGACGACGGGTCGCGTGTGGTAGGTAGGGGGTGGAGAGGACGACAGAGCGGTCGGAGGGAGGACGGGGACTTTTAGCAGGAGCTCGCTGGGATTTCGAGAGGGATCTGCGTGATGCGGAGACTTCGAAGGTATGCGCGGTAGTGGAGGCGGATAAAAAGGGTTTTTAAACAGAGGAGAGAGTGAGAGGGTTCCCCGGACGGGACCGAAAAAGGGCAGCGCTGTCGGAGGGGACTTTCTAAAGCACTCCATTAAATTTCTCCGGAAGGATTGCGCCGTCTCCGCGATCCGCTCGGTGGATCGGTCGTTCTTCTCTTCGTGCTTTCTTCCGGTCTTTCCAGCTCCGGTTATTACATTTTGCTCGTCGTAATAATTGTTGTGCTTGATCCCTCCGTTTTATCACTCTTATCGAAGCTTTCCAGAGTGATTCGACTCTGTTTTGCTGATTGTGAGGAAAGCAGGCGGACGAGCGGCTTGCGCTACCGATAATGCTATCTGCGGAGATCGGGGATGCTGTTTTAAGCGAGATCCCCGCCGAGTGGTAGTTGATGGCCTCTGCAGATCGGTCCCGTTCCCAGATCGCTTGGAGATCGCACGATTCGCTTGAGTCCGGACGAAAGCGGGGCGGAATCGTCCTCATCCATATTCAGTTGTACGTCCCGAAGCCAGTCTCCCGGGCCGCCCTTTTCCTCCGAATCGCCGTCGCGGTTGTACCCTCTGTTTACAATTTCTGTGCTGCAGGGTTCGGGTGGCTACTATCTACGTGGAAGTTCCTCCACATACGAAGTGAACGAGGATTCCCGGGATTTCGGAGTTGAGCATACTTCGGAGCGAGACAAAAATAACGCGACAGGCGGCATTCGAGAGAAACACGATGGAGAGAACTCTTTTTCCGGAAGTTAGGTCGCTACCACAACTACAGGGCTCTTTGCTGAGCGGAGAGCCGCTCGCCACAACGACAAAACGAGACGAGGGAAAATGAGCAACCCCAGAGCCGAGCGTTCTTCCTTTTCCCTCTCGATTCCTTCCTTTCCGGCTCATTCGCTCGGGAATAATCTCCCGGAGCAGGAGATAGAGCCTGGTAAAAAATGTTTATCGAGCTTGCAGACTGATTTCAACTTCAAGCTCAACTCGGACTCTTCCATGTACGAAGCGTAAGCGTTTGAGCTTTCCCCTCGGTCCTCTCGACTTATACGGATATCATGATATAACGATGATGATATCGGTAGGTGATGATGACATCGGGAAAATATCTTCGCATTGCTCCCGAGGATTTCTCAGATTCGCCTGTCTCCTATCGATCCAACTCCGGAATCTGGTTGCCGATTGGAGTCCCCTATCTGATCTTTTCTTCTGCTCCTGGTGCCCATGATATTCTCGAGCGGCCCGGTTGGGCTTCTCGGAATCGCAATCTCCACAGCCATGTATCTCTCGAGCAACAGCTCGAAAAATCCGTCCGCTTCGACTGAACCTTCGGAAGGGAGGAGGAACGAGACTCAACAGCCATGCGAACGATTCCGAAACCGACAGCATGTCCCTGCGTGCGCCCATACCGATTCCCTATACTCAAAGCCTCTAAGCGACTTGGGCAAGTCTTCCATCTCGGGATGGCTGCGCGGACTCACGCTAACACGCCACCCGTCTTTCGAACGGTTCGATTTAGGATCGAGGTGGGAGGAAGCGCACGACAAGTCTCTCCCGTGCTTTTCCGATCTATTCCTGTTGTTGTTTGATCTCAACAAAGCCGCTCCGGAACTATGCACGTGTTTGCATTTAAAAATATCGACAAGCCTTGCCTCGGATCGATCCAATCGAAAAGGGTGGTTTTCCTTTTTTAAACGACGACTCTGCGAGTGATTTCGTTGCAACAATCCTTCGATGTGTCAAGCAGAATCCATCAGGGCAGGCCAACGAACGAAGTCGATGTGAAGTGGTCTGTGGGCGGAAGACCATGCGATCTCCGGCTTCGCCACTCAAATATTACCGCCCGCTCCTTCCTTCCTCCGCGTCTTTCATGCAAGGGAGAAGGGTCAAATATTAAACCATTGCTTCTCCTCCACGAGGGTTGCGTGATTCCAGTAGTCGAATACGGGATCAGTTCCTGATTCACGCGAGGGTGTAGATCCGGCAGTCAAATATTGATTTGGTAGAACAATGGCTCGGTTTCCGAACCCTTGGCCAGCGGACAAACTCGATCGGAGGCCACCGGCCCATCCTCCTACTACTTTTCCCCGCTGTTCCATCCGCCCAGGCGCTCCCCTTGAGGAATCCGTTTTATATTCCCGGGGCGGTCTGGGAGTGTTCCGACCGCTCAGTTCAACGGCAACATTACCATACCCCTGTTAAATAATCGACACTCGAGAACGCGATTCCTCCTTACATTGGAACTGTAAGTGTCGTTCAACTGGGTGAATAGTCGAACTTTTTCAGACGGCTCCCGAGCACTCCGCTCCTCTTTCGAGCCCCGTGGTACGCGGAGGGTCGGAGTAACCTCCGGATCTATCAAACTCGTTTTTTCTTCTTTGCGGCAGCGGTCCCGTCTTATCGCGGAACAGATGTCTGTTGCCTTGTCTCTTCCTCTGGAATGTCCGAGGAGAGCGGTGCGTGTGCTTCAGACGCAGTGCATTACCTGAAAGATAGCGTCCGGCTTCTCGTGCTGAATCTGTAAACGCGAAACTGTCTCGGGGAACTCCTGCTGACCCAGCGGCGAGTTGGAAATCACTTCAGTTTCCCTCCTACGCCCATTGAGCTGCTGCTGCGACGCAGTCATTCTCCTCCGGGCCGCATTCTCAGTCTCCGACGAACTCACAGATACGATCGCGACGATCAGAGCAGCATAACGCGTTCAATCCGTTTTATATTCCCGTTCGGTTCCCTTAACTCTCGGTGAGCAGAAGGCTCTCTCTGTCCTGACCTGTACAAGTATCCTCCCTCTCCCATCCATTCTGCCGCTTTCCGTTTATTCAATTCACCGCCGTGGAATGTCTGGATGGAGCTTGGACCCATGGTCTTGACATGAGGGGATTTCGGGGTGATTTCTGGCTTATAAATCGATGGCAACCTCGGCGACCAGAACCAAGCATTTTCTGATTTTCACCGATTCGACTCAGAGTTCGAGGATGAGCGTTTTGACGGTCCCCTCGAGGGCTCAACGGCTGCTCTGCCGAGTCAGCGAGGATCTCATTCGAGGAGAGACGCCCTTCCTCTCGTAAGTTCACGCCCGTATTTTCGTGTGGACACTGACAACAGCATCGCAAAGCTGATCGGAAACGAGGCGACTCGCATCGAGATACCCCTTCTTTTGAGAGATTTGGAACATGTTTACCGTTGTCATGATACAGATATCTCTCAACTTACTTCAGTCCCTCGACATAAGATCCGGAGTGATGTCATCTCATGTGTTGAAATGCGTTTATACCTATCCATCAAAGCCCGAGCATGGTACACAACGATTTCTGAGACAACAATGAAGGACAGATTCACGTCCGGCCGGTCCGAGCAGCCGTCAATCGTATAATAACGTCTATCGGGGTCGTCCAACAAATCATAGTGAGTTTCTGACGGCTCGCTCCCTATCGCACCCATCCCGTGCGAGAAGATGCTCCTCGCTCGCTCGCGGTGCGTGGGTGCTGGTGATGACTACCATGACGACCATGATTAACGAAAGAGCGAGGAGCCTATCTCTGAGATGCTATAAGGGGTAGAGAGGTGTTCCTAACGATCGATGAGCGGTGGATAAGGCGAACGACGACGAGCGCTTGAAGAACCTCTCCAGGAAATACATTTGAGGGAGTCGACGTCAGTGTCGGTCGCCGGTTAGGTGACCGAACGACCAAGCAAGCAAGCCACCCTCCCACCGGGCAGCAGACCACGCCGCCGTTCCCCCATCGGCGACCACTAGAGTGATTAATAGACTCCTTCTTGTCATCGTCGACGTCGCCGCTCCCCCTACGTCGTATCGTATAACCTCGCCTACGAGTGAGCGATAAACAGAGAGAGGATGTATCGCAAGCGAGTTGCGGGTCCCCTTTCGGTCGCCCGCTCCGCTGACCGTTCGAGACGGGAGACGCTTGTCTTGTGATCTTCTGTCCATTGGGATTCCCTTTGGCAAGCAGCGAAATGCGACACTTCGCTCATCTCGTGTCCTACCGACCCCCCCCCCCCGCTCTAAAAACCGTCGCTTGCATCGACCTGCAAGCGATCATCAATAGGTGACTCGTCCGCCGTCGCGAGTCACTGCTTGCTCCCCAATGGATTTATTTACTCGAGTAGATTGGCGGCGTCGGCGGCAAGAATTCGGGGAAAGGAATGACGGAGCTGCGTGCCAATGAGAAATATCGATGCCTTTGCTTGCCGATGATGCCTAATATCCAAAAACTCGGCTATGCTCGTTGCCTCTCTCGATTTATTGAGTCCGACCAAGTCGGGCGGGGTGGAGGATTTTTGCCACTAGTGATCACACTCGATCGGGTAGAGGAGATTCCCCACCGACCCGGTCGCGACGGGGAGCTGAGCAATCGCATGCGGACGCGGTTGGGTCCTCGAGATTAAAGTGAGTAGATCGCGGGGCTATCATCGGCTCCTCGCGAGGATCCCGTCTTGTCGCGGGACTCCCGTCGACTGCCGAATAATCACCTTTATTTCGCCTCATCCCTCGGAATTGCATCGTGAGTTCGTATAAATCGACGTGCGAGAGATGCTCTGAGGGAATGAGCGAATCGACGCGTTTCTCTTCGGAACAGATCGGTTGAACGTCGAATGAATAGATGGCGAGTCTACGGCCAATGGCTCCCTCATGAACGTATGCTTGTCAATTGTCTCGTACTGTTCGTTGTAAGAGACTGCGCGAGCCCATGGTCCCGGAGCCCGCTTGCGAAGCCGGCCGAAGGATCGGTCGGCGAGTCTGTCGGCCAACCGGTCGGTAAACGACGGGGGTGATTCGATGAGACGTGCTCTCGGACGAATTGCGTTCTGCCAACTGGCCTGTCCGCTCGGCTATCCGATAGCTCGGTCAGCCCCGCGCGTTCGGTTTCCCCCTACCCGGCTCACTCCACAACGCAATCAAGTCGAGCTTCGACGTAATAATGCTAAAATAGGCTAGTACACAGGTGGTCGTTTCTATTTGTGGTGCGGCCGCGCCCTGCTATGTAGGTGCAGTCCGACTGCGGTGAACTGCCTGATCGGACGGCGTGAATTGATGTACGCCACAAAATTATAACCAGATAGATCAGAATCATACCGTAACGAGATAATGCGCGGAAGTAGCTCGAGGTCGAACGCGAGACCGGGAATCGACAGCATGGGAGCTCGTCGAGGATATCGCTCTGGATTGGACATTTTCCGAGCATTTGGTTTCTGTACCTTTGAAACTTCCCGACTTCGGAGTGATCCGAGCCCGGGATTCGAGCCCCAGGGTCATTAACTTGTCCGAGTTCGTCTGAGACAGACAGCCCACTATCGCGAAGCGAGTCGATGTTTTTAATGCCTCAATCTCTTTCCAGATGAAGCTAGCGACTTCCATGGGATCGTTTCGAGTCCGCACATCCACGTGCTGGAAAACGGCTCTCTCAACATCATCTCAGTGCAAACGGATGACAAGGGTCGATATTTGTGCGAAGCTGCGAACGGCGTCGGACCTTCGTTGAGCGCTGCTGTGGATCTCGTCGTCCACCGTGAGTAGCTTACCGTAGAGGAAACCTCCTCCTCATTCCTCTATTATTCCTATCCGGATCGCCATAGACAGTTCGCAGCAACGTTCTCGAGAGCAATATTTTTTCGTGTGGGGTCCGAACGAATCGCTCCCGCCCATGAATAGTGAGGAGGATCTATTCACCCTGCTGCGTCGGGACAAGTCATCGCACTTCTGCCCCGGGGATACGTCCGCCGCTTTTGTGAACGCGGAAAGCCTCAAAGTGGATCTCGAAATCTGTGACATGATATCTGGTGGCCTGTCATCTTTCCTCGGTGCGTCGCTCGGCCTCGACACACTGAGCTGTAACCTCCCATCGCTCCGGCCGTACTCTTGCTTCTCCGTCTCTGAGCTTCTTTTGACAGCGGGAATGATGAGGATATGGACGTCTCAGATTCAACCTTTCACCCGACCGAGTTCTCTTCCGAACAGCGTCTGAAAACCTCAGCGACGCGGAGTCGTCCCAACGAGCATCGTGGAGGAATTTCCCGGAAAATCGCCCGACTCCGCCGGTGGTTTGTTCATTTCCCATCGGGAGACGAGAGGGAGAAACAAATTAACAATTCAAATTTCGTGGCACAGCGACAAGAACGCTGTCAGTCATGAGAACTGTACGAAGAGACTGCCTCAGAATTTCCTGAAGGATCAGCGAGACATTGCGCGGAGAAGCCTTTTGACTGACTGCGAGGAGACTCTCGGAGGGAAACAGCGTAAAGGTCGTTTCCAGGGAAGCGCAGCGCACCAGAGAGGGAGTTGGAGCATGGGAATCCCAGGGGCAGTTTGAGGCCTTTCAAGGAATACTTTCTTCGGCAGGCAAAGTCGCTGAAGCGGACGTTTATGCGCGTTTGTTGTACAGCCGGTGGAAAAGCCGCTCGCCACCTTATGAGTTTCGTCAACAACAAAGCTTTTAACTATGCAAAACTCGCTCTCCCGCTCTCCCTGACAACCGAGCGGCTGAGCGGAGTTCGTGATTGTTGTTTGCGACTGAAAGTTGGCTTCCGCGCTTTCTACCTCTCGCACCCTCGTGTCTACGGCGCGGCGCCGCCCGACGCGCAGCAACGAGTGCATCGAGTTGCGGTACGCAACGACTTCGCCGAGGACCGAGAATCGTAGCGAGTTCGACGGGTAAACGACTCCGAACAGACCCGAACATCTGGTCGCGCGACCGCGAATCCGTGAGCGCGAGAGGACTCCCGGGAACAGCCGCGGCTACAAAGACTCGATGCGTCAAACCGTGACGACAGGATAAGCGTCACGCTCTTCGTTGTCCATGTCAGTGAGCAAATGTGATCTTTGCGAGACGGCGGAAGGATCCGGACGGCGAAGGAAACGGCTGGATAAAGAGAAACCCGCTCGACAACACGCCCTTTATACAGCGGGGCCGTCTGTTGATGACGAACATTGCACAATGATCGTCGACTCGTGACACAGCGCGCCGTCTGCAACCTTACTAGCAACAAGCGTGACAACGATGACGACACCGAGCGCGTTGCCCTACGCCAGACGCGACCCGAGCACCTATGATTGAGCAGCGGAGGCAGTGGAGCGAGCGAGATGATAGAAATACATATAAACACACGCAAGTTGCTGATCTGGCCGATGATTGAATGAATGAGTGAGTGAGTCGACAACTCATTCGAGCATCTAGCAGAAGGAATTCTCGATCCCTCGGGAGCTGGAACGCCTCGGACTCTCGACCGCGATACCAGGCATCAACGTTCCTTTTTCGGTACCGTTCTAACTTCTCAAGGGAAAAGTGTGGGAATCCTTCCGGACTGGCTGTGAGTGAGCTATCAACCATAGCGAGGTTGATCGGCCATTGTCGGTCACAGCAAGCCGGGTAAGGGATTTAGAGGAACGTGCCAAACGACTTCCACTCAACTTCAGACACACAAGCTCTCGATGTGCGACCATCTAAAGTCTTCCATCCATCCAAGCAGTCTACCCGTCGAGCCGGCTGGCCGAGCAGCTTGATAGAGGGGCGCGAGGATCGTTGCTCGGCGAGATGATCCACTTCTAATCCCAGAGCGTTGCGGATCCGGCCACGTATCAACCATTTGCGCGTCACGTTCCGTTTGAGGTCTGCTCGCCAACGCCGCCGTTGAGTGCCTGTCTCTTGAAGGCTTGACGAGCGTTTATGTGTCTCTCCTACGTAGCGTCGTCGACACTTTCTCGCTCCTCGCTGACCTCAGTCCTACAATAGAATGAGCGTCTCATTGGTGTTCAGCGGGAAACTGTCATGGCATACGATCAGGTACTTCATTGCTCTCCGTCGGCACGGGCTCCTGGAAGAACTTCGTCTCATTTGAAAGAAGTATTACTTCATCCCCGAGCTGCCTGTCATCCTATTTACGGATCTCCATCATTTCTTCTTCATTGTTGCCACAGAACTTCGGCAACATTCAGGAACGACGGGCTGAAACTGAAACCATCGGAGCTCTGTGCTCGTGAGGGGAGTAGACGACGGTTGAGGAGACGGAATTTTCGGATCGATGGTTTGACTTCTTCTCCCGCATCTCGCGGATGGATTCATCGCTCAAGGAGCGAACTCTGTCTGGGAGTCACGTCGATTATGGACGAGCCAACGTAGCGACGAAAATGTCGAAGACAGACCCTGTCATCAATTCTGAGCCGCGGTTCGTGATGCTGACCATTTAGGTCGTACACTGGCGTGAACGATCCCGATAAACGATCTCGGTGCCGACTTAGTGGCTTAACGCGTATTAGCGCCCGTCCGCCTGGGCGCTGCGTGCCCGTCTTATGGTTCGCTTATTCCTCGAGTAACGGAGTCCGCCATCCCGAGTCTTCCGCAGTCGATGCTTCTTTTCGTAGTAGGTACGCCTCTTTCTGCCCTCCCTCGATGATTCCCGGCAAAATGCAACTTCGCGCGCGAAATGCAGCCCAAAGGTCAAGACACTCGACGGGGGCCAACGGTGTCTCGGTGTCGATCCTCAGAAAGGTTTCCGCGATGCCGGGGAACTGCCAGCCACCGGGCGTCTCGTCTCTCTGTCGTTCCCGTTGAGCGAAAACTCCATAACGACCCGAATACGGGCCGGATTAGTTGAAGTAAGCTCGAGAGGATTCTCTGACATTCACGAGACCGATCCTTCAATTTCAGGAGGTCCTCACATCACCGGACTGGCGAAAAGTATGCACGTCCGGAGTGGATCGGAGTCTAGTCTGCCATGCACTGTTTCTGGCGATGAGCCACTCTCCATCATCTGGAGTAAAGACGGCGTGTTCCTGCCGGTGCATGACGAGAGGTGAGCTTTTCCACCCCTTCCTTTTGTTCCCCCGCTGCTTCCATCCCGATCGCTCGCTTCCCACGATTCATCCGTTCGTCCGAGCCCGTATCCCACGCCTATTCCCCCTTAGCCCCTCCTCCCCCACCGCCGGGTCCCGTCCAATCCGTGTGCGCGCATCGTTTGCGTAGCTTGTTTTCACCGTGGGTCTGACATATTCGTCATATCAACGAAAGCGATCTCATATTCAATAAGCTTGCTTGTGTGACGGACCGCTAGACGGACCGGCCTGTAAATACATTCATGCGATGGATCGGATTTGACTCCTTTCGGGACCTGCAGCGATGGTTGGCGATGCAGGTGCTTCTCTCCTCCCCTTTTCCAAGCGGTGGCGAAGCCGGTCGAGCCAACAGTACCGCGCACCTCGGTCGCGCCGTGCCGAGGAACGTCGGGATCTGTCAGGACGTAAAAACGTCAGTCAGTCGGCCACGGGGGGCCGACCCTCCTCCCGCTGGATGGCTCACGGGCTGCCTGTCTGGCTAACTGGTTTCCCGCGCTGACTGGGACCCCGCTGATGGTCGTACCAAACGGCGCCCGCTTGATACCGGGGGAGAATCAAAGGCACCCCGGCCGAATACGGGGGAGGGGCGAATCCGAAAGGATCCATAGACAGATGGACGAAGCGACCAAGCAGGGAAAAAGCGTCGGCTGGCAACGTTTGCGAGGAACGCCACCGCCGCGGCTCACCACGCATTCGGTCGCCGCCGCCGTTGCACTACCGCCGATGTGTTTTTGCCCAATTATCCCAATTGGCTCTTCGGGTGTTTCCTTTGCTCTTCTTGCCCGCGAGCTCCGCGCTCATGTGATACCACCGCCTAATGCTCGCCGTGTTGTTATTCTTCCACAGATACATCATCAACGAGGAAAAATCCTTCTACGGCAAGAAGTCGGTGCTGCGGATCCGTGCGGCTGACCGGGCGGACACAGCAACGTTCTCATGCACGGCGAGCAATCCTTACGGGAAAGCATCGGAAGGGCTCCGGCTCATCGTACAGGGCGTACCCGATCCTCCAGACGATATCGTGTTCTCCGACATTCGTAGCACTTCAGTCGTTGCCAAGTGGAATATACCATATTCGGGGAATAGCGACATAAGCTCATATACCCTCAGTTATCATCCTCTAACCGGTTAGTGTTTGTTGACAACGAACTTTAGTTTCCGATTTCCCGTGAATGAATATTGTACATGTGATGTGCATGCGTACGTAAGTGGCGAAAGATCCCTGTGGCAAGCGAAATGTGAATTCCGCACCGAGAGATATTCGAAGCGTCCGACGGGCTCGGAGCTCGAACGAGAGATCTGCGGAGCTTAACTCGTGATTGATGGAATGGAGCGAATCAATTCCCGAACGCACTCGTCGGCCTCCGGTTTTTAGTGATCTCGGAACGCAATCGGAAGAATAATGCTCGGAAGGATCTTGGAAAGCGGCAGCTTTCAGCCAACTAGTCGAATTCGCAAGTCTGGATTCGAGGCCGTGGAAATGGCGAAGAAGTGGGAACAGAATGTTGAGAATCGGGGAAACTCCTCCAGAGACGAAGGATGGGGAACCGGGAGAACATTAATTTGCCAGTGGAGATACAATGGCCGGCCAAGAAAAATCAAGACAAATAGTATCGTGGTCGATGTCGTTGTCGTGCTCCTTCTGCTGAGATCCTCTTCCTTCCCCTCTTCCGTCCCTTTCCTTGTCCTTGTCGAATTCCATTGTTACAAGTACGACGAGCCGCACTTGTGCAACTGCTGCAAGGAAAAGTTTGCTGACAGGAAGCGACACTGGGGAGGAGGTTCTTCTCTGCCGGGTGGCCCTTTCCCCTGCCGGAATCCCGGAACTACTCCCCGAGGTCTCAGCCGAGTATAGTTCAGTTTTTCTGAAAGCGGGCGAGCGATGAAATCACCAGAAATACCAAAACCACGATTCTGGCTGATCGGGAACGATCCCTCGCCCAAATTTCCCGAGCGCGACTAGTCCTTTGAGAGTCTTCTCGACAATTCATAGTTTGACTTCTCGACTCACGGTATAATTCTTCGGGATCCTTCGAACAGAGAGCCCTTGGCGATTTGGGCGGGCTTTATTCCCACGGGGTCGGGTCCGTAATCGCGAGGCTCAGCTGTCGAATAGATATTCCCTCCCTCCCGCGGCCCTTCCGGCGGGCGGGGTAAATAGTTCTCGGACAGGAGTGGAGAAGAACGCCTTGAGAGACTAGAAAAGTGGTTAGAGATCGAGCTTCGGTCTCAAATGGCTCTCGGGATCGACGATTAGAACGAGTTTGTCAAGCGAACCAGCGAACGAACGACTGAGCCGATCAACGTTGTTAGAGAGTTGGTTGCCTGGATCTCGTTGTCTGGTCGGTTGCGCCGACGATCGCTTGCCTCAACGGTTGCCTCGTTGCGTCGGTTGAGCTTCGTTGAGTGCTGGCTCGCTCGTCTCCCTAGCTGAAACCCTTGTTTCTACAAGCAAGCAGAGAATACTAATGGACGCTCAGGATCGTACTAGAGACGACGGCGGCCGCAGCAACAACACAAGTTTAATTTGTTCGTAGAGTTGTCTGTTGTTCTGCTGGAAGCATGCTCACGTCGCTCGGGGGCGGAACACCGGGAGCGCGATGAAACAGCACCTCCCGAATGGGCTCGGAGTGAAAGGCTCTCGCGCGCCGGCGGGTCGCGTTGGTGGAAAATTCCGCGATGGAAACGCTCAGCAGATTGAAACTCGCGGCGAGATTGAGGTAGAGCGGGAACTTGTGTCATGGTCGAGATCCGCGAGAGTGGAGACGGGATGCGATGATAGTCGCTCCGGGCGCGCGAGCCCCCTATTTGTTGCTGCGAGGGGTAGAGGCAAATAACTGCGGACGAATGAAGCGTTCGAGGGACCGACGAGAGTGAGCGGAGACGGGAGAAAGATGTTTGCGAGCGGAGGGAGGTAGTTCTGCTGTTACAAGTGCTAACGATGCCCGAGAGGACACCGAGCCAGCCTGCGAGCGAGCGAGCGAGAACCAACGAGCGTACGGACAATTAGAGCGTCGAGAGTTAGTTCGTTATTTCTTTTCGTTTCAGAGCCGGAAGCGACTCGTGTGGTGACGGTACCTGGCACGTCTGCTGATGCCACGCTGCAAGAACTCATACCTGCAACTCAATATCAGTTCATGATGAAAGCCAGCAATACCTTGGGCGACTCGATCTTCAGCAAACCCGCTCTCGTCAAAACTAAAATGGACGGTGAGCGAAAATTCCGAGGATTCTTCATACGTTCCACGCTTCTCCCATCGAGATCCATCTTTCGAACGAATCTCGTCTCGATGAAATAAACGACTTCTTGATCTTCCCCGCAGCCCCGAAAACACCGCCCTCGCACATAACAGCTTCGGCCGTGGACTCGCGCACGATTCGCGTCACCTGGCGGGTAAGTTCGGTCCTGCATTCGTTCGCTCACGCAAATGTGTTCGACGGACACTTCTGTCCCGACTGGACGGTTTCGTTGTCGAGGAGAATGCAGACGATTGAGGTTCTAAGACTCTAAAGCGAGAACGGATCGCGTCCTGTCGGAAACAGCAACCCCTCCACCCCGGGCGTAGCTCCGTGAGTTTCGCACAGATACCACGCCGTCACGTCATTCGGAACTGTCTCGGTGGATCATGCGAGAGTTGCGCAGCTAGTTGGCCGTCGGTCGGCTCACTGTTCGGAATCGATGAGTGAGCTTCGCTGCTCGCCGACTCGACCGAATTATCATATTCCATCATTGAATCCAATCTCAAGCCATCAAGGGACCATCAGCCGAACTTGTACATCGGCGCCGCCGACAGCCCTGGCGGGGAAACGAACACCGGAGCCAGCTTCTGAGTGAGGGAACATATACCCCACACGGCGTGTATCCATATTTGGACACACACGCGTTCGCGAGTCCGCACGTAGGAGCGCTAGCTTGCGTATTACGCCGGAGTGTGGGCGGGCTGACCGACTGACTGACTGAGGCTCGGTCGGTCGCTCACTCAATCGGGGAGCGGCCGACTTCGGTGGAAGTCCGACGGGGGAGGGGCGTTGTCCAGATGGACGTAGGAGGAATGGACGTCAGACCGAAAACTTAGACTTATGCGAAAACTCTGCTCTCTCTTCTCGCACCGATCCCCCACGCGCGGAATCCCCATCCCTCCGTTCATATTGGTCATATTCGGCTTGGTCGAGGCAAAACTTGCTCCATCGCATCCATCTTTTCACTGATGGTGATCGGGGGAAATGAGGGGGAAAAGTAAAAGAGTTTGCAAATTGAAAAAAAAGAGAGTCTAGAGATCCCCATGCACCGCCCCCTCCCTCCGATGGAGCCCCGCGGAACGACCCCGTGTTATCCTCGATTTCTCCCCAAGCGTACACGGAGCGTTTTGACCGAGTCGGTCTTCCCATGAACCATTTCGTGGAGCCCCATCTCGTCATCCGAGCGGAGGAACGAGCGAGCGAGCAAGCAAGAAGAATTTTCCGTTTTTTCCTTCTTGCTTTTAGGACTTGCCTTTTTAACGGCTATGATGGATGTGGATCATCGCGTCCGCCTGTTTGTCCGTCGGGCCGCCTGCGCGCCGGCCCCTCTCGATTCCTCTCCCGATATCTCGCCAACGTTCCTTTCTCCAGGCGCGCGCATTGAACCCCGTTCCCACGTTGCTCCGCTAGACCGACAGCAGATATTGAAATAGTTTTATCCGTCGGAGAGTTCGAGCCTCGACGATCATGTGCACGGGGCGAATCTCCCCTGTTTTGTTCGATGGAAAGACTATGGCGGCTAAGCACCAAAAGAAATCTGAGAGAGAGAGAGAGAGAAGGTCTTGCAAGGTACTACTGATGCTCTCCGGCCGCTGAGAGATCCAAGTATGGAGCGATGGGTTGGGTGATTGATGGCGAACATCTCCGATGATCGTCCTGCCCGCCTGCTTAAGGCCGCTGCGGCTGCCACCGCCGCCGCCGCTGGTCAGTATTGGTCTTCTTTTCTTCCAACTTCTCGGTCAGCCGATGCCTGGCACTAGCAGCCGCGAACTTTTCCACTCGACAGACGGTCGCTCGGCAGCAGTCAAGGAGAGTTGTGGCAGGAGAGGCGACTAGACAGTCTCTCATCGCTCATTGTTGAAATCTCCGGGTGTTCGACTCCGAAGTCTCTCCGACAAACTCACTCGGCCGGCCAGCCAGCCAGCCTTTTGCTCGCTTTCCTTTCGATGGATGAATCGCCGGGAATCTGAATTCCGCCCGGAGCAGGAATCGTCTTTTCCTCGCCCATGGTCCGCGTCGATTGGAGCCGCCAAGCGGTACCGGATCCCGTGTGATTCCATTGAAACTCGGGAAAATCCGGCCAGGGCGAAGAATATCATAAGCCGGAGAGGAATAAGCCGTGAACCCATTTCAATCAGTGTCCCCGTCCTTCCCGTCGTCGGTCCATCACCATGGCGTTTCCCATAGCTCTATAGCCCGATGGAACTCGTGTCATTCTCACGCAGCGATCCGGCCGTCGAGCTCGTAAGCCAGCAGCCGAGCTCAATGCTTATCCTAAACGTAATTAATATCGTCTTCGAGCGCGGCTCTGCCATCTGCACTGAGCGCGGCCGCGTTCCTGCTGCTGTTGGTGGTGATGACGGTGGTGGTGCTGCTGCTGCTGCTCCCGCTGCTCCTAGACTACTTTCTATCGATCAAGTATCAAATACGTTAATTACTCCAGCTGCTCCAGCGTTCTCTTTTCTCTCGCCTTTTCTCCGTCTCAGTGAGAAGCTTGTGCGCCGCTCCGTTCCCGAGAAGTTGGCTCGACGGAGGAATGCTCTCGTCGGCGCGGCGTCGCGGTCCAGTTCAAGTTGAGAGCTCCTTCCTTCGGCATGCGATCCGTGAGCGATCCCCGAAAGGCGCAGCTCGTCTACCAGTCAAAGACGCCTTCATTGCGAGCTTGCTTTTCCATGCTCTCATTTCTTCAATTCTGTGGAGGCATCGATTTACTCTGAATGGATTTGCTGTACCTTCGAAGCCATTCGCAGCCAATGGAACTTCGCCTTCGGCTCGCAAAGCTATTCATGGCTTCGGTCGCCGTTCGACGGACCGGCTTGCCACCGGGAGCCGATTACATTCGGCGCTGCGTGAACTCAAATCCGAATACACAGCCGAATTCCAATGCGTTTCCGCGTTCAATTCGCAGGATTCTGTATTTTCCAATACGTGTACGCGATCTGGATTGATCTCCGGATACAGAGAAAAAACGGATTATCGATCCGACGATCATGGATTCCGAGAAATCTAGGGGTCAGTAGCTCTTTTGAGAGTCTGTAAGCCTTGGAGACTAACAATCTGTCGAGTGGGAGCGAGCTAATCTGATCCGCTTCCGCCCAATTAGGCAGGCAACTATTTAAGCCGGCTACGTAGTGAGCTGCAATTCTGGCAATGACCGAATCAGTCCGGAACCTGCAGCCAACTCATCCGACACGTGATCGGAGACGATCGTCTCCCCTGGAGTTCTCGCTCCGAATCTCCGTGAGATCCTGCGCAAGGGGCAGACGGAGAGGAAAGTCCCAGGTTGACTCCATGATTTAGAGAATCAGAACTCGCTGACTCGCAGAATTTCCAGAGCGGTATGAGAGAGGTCACGAGGCAGCGCTTAGCGACGGGGTGGGAAACTCCTGTCACGGAGCTATAGTCATGGATCACGGCATGTTTCCAAAGGGACGAAGTACACGGATTGGAGTTCTGGAATAGAGTTCCGCGGAGCGGAGAGCACTTGGATACAGGCCGCCTCTGACGCGCAGGGCTCTCGACTACTCGTCGGTCGAGCTCGATCGTGTCAGGTTGCAGGATTTCTAATTCCGGAGAGGCTCGTAATTTACTCGATCGAGTGCTTCCAATCTCCACGGCCGTTAGAAGGAATGTCTTCGAGATGAATATGGAGGTTGATTTTTCTTCCCGTTCTCTTTCGCCCCCGACATGCTGGAGCAACTGCCAAGAGAAATTAGCATAATTTGTCTATTTGCAAGTCGGTGTTATTTTTTCTCCACAACGTTTCGATTGTTCGCGACTTGAATGATTTCCACAAGGGGAAAGCTCTTCAATGATCGGCGGAACATCAATATTCGGAGAGAATCTTCGAGCTCGGTGAATCGCTGAATACTGAACATGACGGGACTCCTTGAGGGATCATCACTTGATTCATGGACTTCGATCCGAACACATAGAGATATGAGAAATTCTCGCCTCGGCCGAGAGGCGGTCTCCTGTGTCGTCGAGGCGAATTACATAAGAGGATTCCGAGAGGGAGGAATTCATGAAAATATTTTGAACTCTTTATCTTGCAGAAGCCAGCCGAGCGAGCGCGGAACAGTCATCTCTCGGGATACTACGTCGGCTACAAAGAGTCCGATAGCGCCGAGCAGTTTTCTTACAAGACAGTCGACATCGACCACAACAATCAGCCCACTAACGGTCGAGAAGAGTACACGATAACAGGTCTGAAGAAGAACACCAAATACAGCATCGTAGTGCAGGCGTTCAATCCACAAGGATCCGGGCCCTCAAGCAACGAGCTGGTGGTGAAAACCTACGAATACGGTATGTCGGTCTACCCGGTTTAATTTATTCCTCCCCGCCCCTTCTCCTGCGAGGCTCGTCAACGTGTCCCGATGCTCAAGCCTCGGAATGTCTATCCCATGATGCAGATTCATGATGAGAGATGGGATGAATAGCGTGATCTGCATCGAAAACTACACAGCAATCCCAATACTGTGGGACTTTCCTCCTTTGAGGGACTTTCCTGCCCCGACGAGGCATATCTTGAGTCCTGCGCTGATTTTGTACCAAATGAACACATACGGACGCGTACATACGTCGAAATCGGTATTCAGAGTCGCCTGCCGGAGCCTTTCGCTTCGAGGAGAATGATATTGTGGGGGGTTCGAATCCCTACATAAAAGTCATGGAGGATTTTTGTTTCGCGCAAATCTGATCGTTCATCCCTCCTCCTTTCGTCAGGGCATGTTGTTGCCGTCAAGTGCAGCCGCTCATTTGCGCGGACACGCTTGACGAGATAGCACGTTCAAGGGTGAACTATTGTTCTCCGGAGGTGATAACAAAGAGGAGATGAGCCTCGAATGGAAGCGCTTATCCAAGAGCTTCCCTATTGTATAATAGAGATGACGGCGGGGACATTCGCCATTGGCACAGGCTTATGGAGAAAAAAATCCGGAGCTACTACATAGACGTTGCAAGCGATGACGGGTGAATTATTCTCGTCGAGGCCCAAACGCTCGTGGAACAGCAGCGACAAGATTGAGTGTGTCTGCGCGCGGGAGTCGCTCTCGAGTCCTTGAACACGTCTAAGCACTCGTGTTTCGGTTGCAGATCCTCCACCGAGCCCTCCGCTGAAAATTATCGCAACAACATCGTCGTCGATCCACGTTCGTTGGGAGCAGGACCTCGCGAAGTACAAAGTGACTGGCTACCTTCTGCACTACAAACACTCGGGAGCCGAATGGAAAGAGATGCAGTTGCATAGCTACACGACTAACAAGATCGTTGAGGGATTGCTGTGCGGGACATCGTATCAGATATTCCTCACGGCTTTCAACGATATTGGACGAGGAGAACCCTCCGCTGTCATCGAGGTGGCTACTGAAGGCAGAGGTAAGTCGCTCAGTGATTCGCTTCGAGAGCGGATCTGTGATCCGACCCCCCCTGGCAATCGAGCAGAAGTTCGTCTGCGTCGCCCGGAAGTCGGGGACGATTTCCAGCATCCTCATGGCGGGAACCCTCGACGACCACCATGTCAGGCCGTGATGGGCGCGAGCCAGACCAGCAATGAGGATCAGAAACAGACGTCGACGTCAAGCGTCAACAGAAAAACAGGAGACAGACTACAGAGCGGACAAGAAGATAATACGAGGGACTCGAATACGGTGCCACAATAAAAGAGGAGGACAAGCGGGCCAACCGGAGCATCTGACTAGCGCGTCAGTTGCTCGTCCGGTCCGCGAGCTCACTTGGAGGACGGCGGCCGCAACGACTATAACAGTGGGACGTAATGGCAAAAGGCTCCCATCCCGAGGAATTGCTTTTGGTGTGCGAACGGGGTTCTTTGATTACTTGCTGCGCAACGTCCGACCGTCACCCACCGCCAAACCAACTAGTCAGGCAGGCATCCCGTCGGACTCCGACGTCGACGTCGGGGAAGCGAATCTATATACAGGAGGACAAACGCCGCCGCCGCCAGCAACGGGTGAGCGGTCGAAGGAACACTGTATGGCTCCAGCGGAAGCCTGACGACTGTGGTCATAAAGAAACACAGCGAATACAACATCAACTCTCGCTGGTGATATTCCTCCGGAAAAGGAGCGATGAGGAGGTCACACGACGAGCTTCAGCTGGCGTCGTCGCTCCGACCGCCCGGCTGACGCTCCTGGGCTACCCAACCCAAACTATTTGGGAATCGTGATCGATACCTCTCGATTTGCCATGAGCCATGGAATTTGAGGGAATGTCGGAGAATCTCAGATCCGCAAGATGAGAATCGCAGCCCGGAGCTCGATGGCGATTCGCGAATTTCTTTGAAGTCGGGCGTGCGGAGAAGCGAGAACGACAGTGGAAAAATCCCCCAGGATGTGCCGACTGAGTGCGTTCCCTCTCGAGCGCGTTCCCGTCGATGCTGAAGATCGGCGGAGCAGAGGCACGTAGGCACGCGACAGAGCTTGCCAGCTGGGGAAGAACCTGGACAAGGACACCGAAACCGACAGGAGCCGAAAGCGAGCCCGAGTGGAAGGACATCTCATTAATTCTGCTATAAAAATATATACAACACCATGCTGGACCGCTGGCGATAAGCTTCGTTAAGCACTCACACCGCCTTACCGACTTTTTCTCGGGAGCTCCTTCTGTTCAGGTAGTCTGGTACAGGGACGGTCGCTTATTTTGTGTATGAGCCCCTTGGCTTAGACAACGCATGACTCTACAACAACTTCATTCCGTTATCACCATGGCGGACTCAGGGTGTCGTTGAGCTGTCGCAAACCAGACAACAGAATGCTCCTCCCATTTTGAAGCCACTTCCGCTGAATTCTGGGGACGCTGACGGTCAAGATCCTCATCTGGCTCCCGCAGCTGACCGTGCCGGACGTTCTCCAGCCAGCGATTCCTCGTCGAGATCGCCATACCTCCTAGATCGCGGAGAGTCCTCAGGACATATGTGTGTCCGAGCGATCGCGACTCTGAAATTTTCTTTCCCCGTTTCTTTTCGTACCCGAGACTTCCGAAAACGTGCTCGGGAAACAGCGTGGGATTCTTCGGAATAACTCGACTAGTCGTCAGGAGCGTGCGCGTGCCTAACAGTCGTCTGCGGAGGAGTTCTTTGGAAGCGCTAAGGACAGGCGGAGGTTTTCTACCTTTTTATTTTTAAATCGGAAGCGTTTCTCAATCGTGAGCAATTCCTCGTCGAGGCGAATTCGGAGAAGAACTTCTTCGAGTGTATTTCGAAATCGAGGTTTAGTCTTTTATGTCCCTAAGTCGGCTTGCGGTCACTAACTTCTGAAGTTGAGCGAGCGTATAGTTCGAAATGCAGTGGTGACTAGGGACATTCTGGTTGGCGGACAGATTCGAATTCATTATAGATAAGCGTAGGGACGAGAGACGCAGCACTATTCGGACGGAACAGTGGGAGAGAAGTCCGACGATTGGAAATTATTTCCGTCCCGAAGGCGATCATTCAATTCCGGACGTGAAGCGTCATCATCAAGAGCGTATTCCACTTAATGAGATGTTTTTATTTCTTCCACAGCACCAATCGCGCCGCTCAGCGAAGCGTTCATCTCGAGCAACCAAACGACGGCGACATTGAATATGGCGACTTGGGGAGACGGTGGATGTCCCATAAGACATTTCGTAGTTCAATACAAACTAACAGCTCATAGAGACTGGATTCTGCTCTCGAACGACCTGATCAAGGAGAAACAGGTCAGTACAATCATTTATTATACAGCCAGAACTGGTCGACCGCTAAACGGCGGAACTCTTTCATCTTCCATCTGAGTACAATTTACCACAGCGTTATCAGGGAGTTTTTTATCGAATAAGATCTCCATCCTTCGGTCGGCTAGCGATGACGATTCCCTTTGGCATTGGTCGAGCATTACAACTCTCACCATCTTTCCACACCAGCTGTATCCATCGCCTTTTCCCAGGCTGCGAGGGTATCCTTTGAGGCGAAAAGAAGAGAAGGATGAGAAGCGGAACGAAACAGAGACCGGACCAGCCTCAATCGGAACCCTAATTAAGTGATGGCCTCCAGGGGACCCTATTTCTCCCTCGCCGGCGGCGGGGCGAGAGGGGTGCAGGGTGGGGAAATAATGCTTAGCGGGATTATTCTCTCAGGAGAAACTCTTCCGGCCGCCCCGGAAGACACGGTCCCGCCAACGGCAAAGACCCACTCCTGCGGAGACCTCCCTCATCGAGCGTCAGTTGAGATTCTCCAGCTTACGAGTGGAAAATATCAAAATTGAAACCGGGCGGATGATCTTTTAGAGCTCATGGTGGTGAGGGAGCTCATGGTGAGAAATACGTCAACAGCAGCTTCGGCGACGGTACTTCTGCGTATCGTCAGCGGCTGATGTTGGATGGCAGACGGACATAAATGCTGGCCGCGCCATAAAGAAGCTCTGCTTACCCGTCAACTCAACCGCTTACTTATACTTGTTATGGCTGAGTCGTTGACGTTCTCGAGACTTCTCGGCTGGTTAGGCGTGTTCTGGCTCGGCTATCGCCACAAATATATGTGCCACTTTGCCGTCGTCCCTTATCGAGACGCCCGAGGCGTACGCCTCTCGCTTCGCTGACCGACCATCGCTCGTCCGATTTTGCTTTCGTTAGTCCGCCTAGCTTTGCTTGCTTTCCGCTGCTCACACGGCCGGAGCCCAACGAGCGAAGCGAATGCCACTCCTGATCTGAGAACAGCGTTCTCAGCTGCTCAATGGTTCGGAGGTCAACTACGCCTGGCCGGGCGGAAGGCGCTTCGGTCCTCGGGCTCGCTCTCGGTCGTGATCGGAGCCCGGTACATCATAGCTGGAACTCGAGTTCCTTCGAGCTGTTGGTCGAGCGTGCGCCTATCTGGCTGATCGCTCGTTCGCCTGTGAGCTCGTTCACCTGCCGGCGACGACGCGGCGGGTTGGAAATGGGCGTTCGAGAGTCGAGAGCCCGCAGTAGCTTCGATGACGGCGACGTCGACGGCAGCGGGGAAGCAGTGGGAGGATACCTGTGTTCAACGAGATGTGAAGGAACGCCAATGCAAATTGCGGGTTGCGGAGCAGCCAGCATCCAGAACGAATCCCTGCAAGCGGTGCTTACTTTCGTGCGCGTGCTTATCTGCTTGCAAACGTTTTCACCGCTCCGAAGAAACTTCCGACGCGCTCCCTATTCACTTGTTCGGATCTGGTACTTTCCGTTCTTAACCGGTCCACAGAGCATGTTGCCTTGCCTCTGGGAGATTATGGGAATTAATTCCATCAACCTGGATATGGGGTCCTCAACCCTCGCAGCAAGGACGGAGTTGATGCAATGATCTCCTTCCCCCAAGAGGAGCGTTTGATTTCCGAGTACCCCCATTCTTCTGACTTGCTGGTTGTACCTCGCTACCATTTCGCGGTACTGAAGAACGGGTAGTGCGAAACCGCCTCCGATAGACGTTGAATAATCACTTTTCCGGAAACACGTTGCGTTCCAATCGCCCGACCGTCATTTACACCGAAAGTTTCCGAATCGGGGAAGATTTGTCAGCGCGGGAAGTCTCCCCAAAGCTCTGCGGGACTCGGAAACCAGAACGAGGTGTGCATCCCAGCATCATTTTCCCACTCTCGGGGGAGAGAACGTCTCCGCTCCCGGGATCAAGGGGATCTTTCGGTGGTTCCACGGAAAGCGGCGTGGTCGCGCGAAAATCCAAAGACGGAAGGGGAGCGAAGCGGGAAGTAGATTCAATATTCAGGGCTTGCGACGGAATGCACGCAAGAGTAAACCGAGACAAACCGAGCAAGCCGCTTGATTTCTTATTGGATTTGCCGTTCGGCAGTATTTTCTCATCGTATTCTCTTTCTTCGGCTCTCTTACAATAGTCAACGGCGACGAGAACGAATCGTTGGGAAAGGAGAACCTCCGAGGAGGAAGAGGAAAACTTTTAAGCTAAAAAAAAAATCTGAGAGTGCGAACTCGAGTCCGCCCCACTCGACGCACCCTTCAACCCGTCGAAGACCTCAGGGAGAATGGGGAAAGGGGGTTTCCTGAAGAGCGGGGGGGAGTGAAGGTCGCAGCTCATTGATGGTGCTCCCGTTGCTCACTCTCGGCTCGATGAGACAAAAAGCGTAGATTTTTCGAAGCTGGAATCCCTACCGATTCTCGACTGCGATGTATCCTGAGATTTCGTCGATAATAACGGGACGTTTTCCGTCCTGGCTTCTGACACGTTCGCCATCTGATAAATCTGGCAGCTCAAATCGAATCAAAAATTCAACGAACTTCGGGACCCTCCAGCCGACCTCCCCTACTCCGGCTCCAGTGTATTCTACTCAAGACTCCAATCCGCAAAGAAACGTTATACGTTCTCACTCCCCTCATTCCGCTTTGCCTGTTCTTTCGCTACGTCGTAGCACTGTGTATTCGATTCCACCTGCCTTAGACTTCCGGACGGAGAGCAAATCACTAAGAAACACACCGGAAGTTTGAAAACCGTTTTCCCGATCCTCTCGCTGCTGCTGTGGGGCCGCCGTCTCGGCCGTAGTCCGACAGTAGCCGCCGCGGAGGTATACGGCTCAGAGCTAGCCGACGATGTTTCCACCGCTGGGCGTTCACTATAAACTCCGTCGTCAACTCAATGTTGTAGACCACAAAACTAGCGAACGACAGCAGCGACTATGAAAGGTTTTTACGAGTTTTTTCCCTTTCTCGGGCGTCTTTGCAGGTCTTGGCCATTGGTGACCTCCAACCTTCCTCGTGGTACGAGCTCCTCGTCACCGCTCACAACGAGGCGAGTTATACAGAGGCAGACTACCAGTTTTCAACGCTGACGCCTAGTGGAGCGACTATTCCTCCGCCACTTGCGGGAACCAGACAGGTTTGTCGCTTGTTATTCGTCTCTCTATAAAATAAATCGACGCCCGTTTTCTTCCCTCGGCCAAGTCCTAGCCTCCAATTTAGAGCGCAACAAATTTTCGCCGCGAGGTGAACGTCTCGCAATGGATCACGAGGAATCCTCATCGATTGAATATATTCAGGATATTACGTATTCGCGACGTTCGCCGTCGATGGCCGCTGACTCAACCGACTTTCAGGTCTCCATGCTCCGCGACCCCGCTGTCCTGGTTCCCGTGCTATGTGCCGCCACGGTCGTGATTCTTCTGATCTCGGCTGTGTCTTTGCTCTTCATGAGGAATCGTCGCTGTCAGCCACGCACCCACGGAAACGAAATGTGTGAGTACGCTCGTTCCTTCGTTCCAGTATTCGGGCAATTCAGATCAGGCGGTCGTCGGAGTCGTGTGCAATAATTATTACAGAGAATGACGAATCAGAAGGCCGTCATCGAGATATCTAGTGCTCGGTTTGGTTCAGCCTCCGAGCCAACCGACCAGCCAAGCACGCACAGAAAAACGGAGTCGTCAGACTCCCTCGGACGGTTAGAGCAAGCCGAAACTCATCGCTATTGATACCAGCGCTCGTATCACAACGCTAGAGCCCGCGTGTACATTGCTGGGAAGAGAATCCCGCCGCCGCAGGGCGTACACGGAGGTGGAACTTCGTCGTCGAAAGGCTCGTTCGTCGTCGACGTCCGACAGACGCGATTTCCATATCAAAAGCGTCACCTTGAATGCACTCATCAGCTGGCCACGGACCCGAAGGCTTTGAGGCTCCGTCGAACTCGATGGCAGCGTGTAGGATGTCGCCGCCACCGTCGCGCCGCCGACGTCCTCCATGCCGGGACGGCTTCGATGATGCCGACACTTGCTCTATCGTCGAATGATGTCGCTTGTTGCCGAGCGAACAAAGAATGCGTGCTCTGTTGGTCTTCCCTCTTCCATTCGATAGGCAAATCGTCTCCTCGCCGGACTCCGCTCCGTCATCGTTCCCAGACGTGAGGGGAGGATCGTGTCAAGAGTCTCCGTCATTTTCGTCGGTGCCGCTGCCATAATAGTGTCATTGAAGCAATCGACATGATATGTCGACTCGACGTCCTCGTCGCTCGCTTCTTTCGTCATGGATTTGATTCATGCTTTCAAACGCATGGAAAAAGCGGAACTCTGCAGGCTCGTCGTTCTCCGAGTCGTGCGTCTATGTGTTGGCGTGTTCGTATTGTTATGAGCGTCGTAGTCGTAGACGCCGTCAACAACGACGGAGCGGCGGCGGCATCGTCAGCGGCCACTTCGGAGAAGCAGGTGGAGTGAAGACGACCGGCTTGTCTCCCCTGTTAGCGCACGCACGCCGAACATTCGGTCGGTCGGTCGGTCGGCCGTCGACCGGCCGGCGGGCGGACAGGCAGGCGGACTAGCTGGTTGGCTGCTCACCGGCACTTCCTGCAAACCCAATTTATTCCGTCGTACACCTGTTCTGCTCCGACAGGACAACAAGCAAGAAGCTCATAGCGAGCCTGTAGCAAGGTCTTCTACCGATTGGCAACAACAACAAGTCCCATGGTGTTGTTGCTGCCGCTGCTATTATTACCATTATTGTCACTGTTGTCGCCAGCGCTTGTTCTGTAACGAAAGACAACGTACGCCGGGCGACGTGGCTTATTGCCCTACAGGATTGCGCGTCGGGCCGTCTGTACGCCGCACTTCTTGTTCCCCTGGATCGCTGTCCGACCAACCATATTCCTGCCAACAGGCGAAGTCGGTTGGGAGAAATCTCCAAGAGGAATTGTGCATCCGAGGGGCAACGGCTTCCTTAGACGGGGAAATCGTCACAGGGCATCATGCACTCGACCGGAAGTCCAGGCGGAGATTTTCTATGACAGTTTCGGTGGAGAGGGAAATTTTCTGCAGGGGGTGTCTCGTTGATATTCTGGCAAGCACTCCCACGCAAAATGCAGGATTATTTCGGAAGCATGGAGGGCATCGGGAGTTACCATGCTGCCTGAAGAGAGTCATGCCGGATATTTCGCGCCTCCGAGATTTTCCTCCAACGAGCACTTCTTCATCAGCTGCTGTGATAAATCCCCTATTGGTTCAATTCGCAGGCCAATCGAGAGATGATCTGTCTTTGAACACCTACGGAAAGTGCTCCAAGGACCCTGTCAACGACATCATGTACAACAACGATCATGAAACATTGTACTGCCCATACGCAGCGCAGCAGGCTGCGGAAGCATTCAACTTCAAAGGAGACATGGTCGCGGAAACGCTGCGGAGAGTCGCCAAAAACAAGGAGCATACGTACGAGGTGCCTCACCGCATTAGGGTGAGTTGCCTCTGCATACAACTCCTTAGGGAACCTCTCGAATATCTTTTCTGGAATGGTCATCATGAGCAGAACGAGAATCGTACCCGGACATCGGTACCCGTCGTTCGGGGGGCTAGGACCTCGGCTCGCGGATCAAAACGTAGAATCTGTCCCGTTTCGCCAGTCGGTTCTTCTAGTTTCGTGATCTTTCTCAATCCTTTTTCGGAGTCGATTGTGACACTCTAGCTAGCCGGAGCTCCTCAGCCGACTCCGTAGATTCGCTCTCCTCCTCGGTCCCCTTATTTCCTCGACGCCCTCCGCGTGACCGGGTGAGGTTCCGCTCTTTTTTTGCGCTCCATTGTGATGCCCTGCAGGGGATTTCTTCTCGGCGGGGTCGACAGGCTCAGCAAGCAAGGTAACAGATTGCTTCTTAGGAAGTGAGTGAAGCAAAGTGACATTCTTCCAGTCAGGTCGCTCGGCGGGCGGGCAACTAAGCAGCTAGTGGAACAGGACCTTTCTTGCTCCGTCTCAGCCGCGCTCAAAGGTCTCTCCGTTTTTCTGAAAAGCGTCACCTCGACAAGCTGTCAGATAACCTCACCTCCACCGAGAAGCCCTGGATTACGTCACGGGGCTAGAAGAATCGTGCGATGCGGGCTGCTTCGGCGATCCCGATCCAGCTCCTGTCGAGTGTACCTACCCAGAGACGTCACGAAGTTCCCATTCGGACGGGGAAAAAGAGATGGAGAGGACGAATGCTGATCGTGATCGAGAGAATTTCAACGACGTAAAATAAATGTGTTCATTCGCCGATTTCAGGCGGTGCAGCAGGGCTACTGCAATGGGGTGTCATCATCTGCCACATTGGAGCGATCCGTCGGACAAACCCCAAAGCAAAAATATCGTCCGCTGTCTTTGGGCAGGTCGTTCGACCAGGATCTGTTTGAAGAGGATCTCGAACGTGAGTTTAAAGCCAAAGCTATAGTTACCCCGAGGGTAGTAAGGTGGGCGGCATCGGTCGGTCCACCCGCCGCCGCCGCCGCTCCACCGGCGGTGAGTGGACCACGAACCCGGAGCAGGGGTCCACATCAGGTCGAGTTAAATTCCACTCTTTGAACGTTCCTTCTACGTTCTCGGGCTCTCATCGTCCCGACCCATCTCCAGCCTCAACCACTGTGACTGCTGCTGCTGGTTCTTCTCCTCTAAGCAGACGTTCTAATTGGATGGACTTCGAGAGCACACGGCTGCCCAGCTGGCGGCAGGCGATGAACCCTTGTATCCGGGTCGAGGAGGCTTTTAATCCACAGCCGGTGACGCTCTCAATGGCAACGGCAGCGCGGTGAAGATCCCTGGGATCGTCCACGTGGTTGTCGCTCCGGCCGTTCAATCCTCGCCTCGGGTCGATTCGGATTTCCCGGGGTTATGCCCGGCGATACCCTCGAGCTTGTCATCGCTCGCCTTGAGTTATTGGAACTTGACTCCTGGACAGAGGAAATTCATTCTGATCGATCGTAGTACGCTCCGAGCTGCTCCGCAGACAGACGGTTGAATGGTAAAGTTCGATAGCGCCAATTGCGCAGCATCGATCCGGGAGTGATAATTCTTCCTCGTTTTGGCCGGAACCGCGAGAGTGAAGGATCGAGCCGACGCGGCCGGCCGTCCCACACCGATAGGGCGGGGGGGAGCTCTCGCGCCGCATTTTTCATTGCAGCCCGCTCATATCGATTGCGGATGCCGCGGAAGCGTTGAAATCGCCTCTCCAGTTTCGCGCCGCTGTCCGTTGCACAAAACGTTCGGGAAAGAGCGAAATATCCGGGTGAATGGTAAACTGGCGAGCTTCGACAGTTAATACTCTTTTTCCCTCTCGAGCTCCTCGGCTTACCTCTAAACTTTGCCCGGAGAACTTTTGGACGGGGGCGAGCTCGCCTTTCGACCCCTCTTTTACTCGTGAACTTCATCCACCGGCGAGCTCGTTCCGAAACGGCACCTCCCCGAATGGTGTCATACCGTAATGGGGCGCAGCTTCGCACGGAAGCTAATAGGAAAGTCCGTACGTTTCTCGGATCGTTGAAGGAGAATGAATGAGTGATTCATGCCCGGACCACCGACTGCTGAAACAGATTGCGGCTGACCGGTCAGAGAAGGAGGAGGAGGTGGCGGTGCTTGCAAACGGTCCTTAACGATTGAACTTGCGAGCCCTCAGACTCTTTCGGAACTTGTCAGGTGCTTCGACTCGGTGGAGTAGAATCCGCGGACGAAGCTGGTCATGACAGCGAATTTTCAACTTTGAAAAAGCAGCACACCGCCCGGTTCGGGCGGCTGGCCCATTTAGATTCGATTTTGAGAAAATACTTCTCTCGACCGAGCCAACTGTAAAATAATTCCTGAAGACCCTGAGTTCGGAGCTAGGTCCCGACGCAGCGGCATGAACATTTTTCATCCGGAGCTCCGGAGATCGCTCCTCTCATCGGGAGAACGAAGCGCTGCCGCACCCTCGATGGCGCAGGGACCCAGAGCGTGGCGGTTATGGAGATGGCAAGCCGCGCGCACGCCGAGGATAGTACGGCAAGCTCTGCTTCCTGCCTCCTGGAGTTGAGAAGGAACCGAGAGCCGCAGAGCGTACCTGCGAGGTAATTTGGCTTCCGGAGTCTCGGGGCCGCGGTGCTTCTGCCGTTGCCGCCGTCGCGAAAGGATCGATGGAGCAAAGCGTTTGTCACGCGACACGACCTTGGTATGCCGATGTCACTTCAATGCGGCTTCCCCCGAACGGAGGAGGGGGGCGATCGAGCCAGCGAGCGATCGGAGCATTCAGGCAACGACCGCTTTGTTGTAGCAAACGTAGCGAGCGAGCGAGCATGTGAACAGGTGAACGAGCTGTGTTCTACAACATCAGCAGGCACGACCGAGGTTCCGGTCCTCCGAGCTCTCGATGGCGCGGCTGCCGAGATTTCCTCAGCAACGGGGATAGCGCCCCTAATCCTTCCCGTAGGCGGCTGATTCCGACTGACGATTCTCGATGCAGCGTTTGCTACGAATTCGGGCAGCAGGAATCGCGCAGAGACCTATCGTTGACGTTTTTGAGAGGGTCGAACGATTCCGGGGTTGCAGCGAGTGGAAAGGGCACTTTACCTAACCTTATCTAGAGGAAAGGGAATTCCCACCCGGAATTCTTGGAAATTCTATCATGATCTCGTTCGCAGACATGTACAAAGAAGCGGCGGCCAATCAGCACAAACAGGAAGCGGTTTCATCAATCATGTCGGGTGCAGCTGAAAGCGACATTTGCTCGTCTACGTACGAAGACGACTCCATCATCATTGGAGATGCTTGTCCTCAAAGGTAAGACATTGCCTAAGCTTCAGAGAGTTTTTTTTCGCTGAGGATCTAGGAACTCCCGGAATTCCACCCGCCACTCTTGAATTATCCCTGAACGCCTAGGTTCTTTCCTCGTGCGCGGACTCGCCGTCATGAGACCGAAATATTGGATCGGGCCCCGCCCGGTAGTCATCGGATGCCTGAACTTGTCGTTCAATTCCAGATATAATTTCAATAACGGAACTCTGAAAACCCAACAACCCGCAGGCTCACAGAGCCCCTACGCTCAGCCCAGACCGATTACAGACAAGTGGTCGGTGAAACTATGAAAGCAAGGTTTGTAGTCTGAATACCAACGGACTTTCGCTCACGAGCTATCTGAAGCATGCAAGTCCACGGGAGCTTCACCGGCGCGGCGCCGCGAGACGTTGTCTGGGAAACGTCGAGATACGAGGGTGTTAGCAGTTGACGAGCCGGGGCATTGAGATTCTCGCGCGGTCTGTCTCAAATCCCCGTTTAATCTCGTTGCAGATAACGAGGACGACGGTAGCAGTGTGTACTGGATCGGCAGCAGCGAAGAAAACCCGTGAGCGAACCGACTCAGCCAACCCCCGTTCCTGCGTGCCAGCTTGTCTTCCTGTCCATCTGTAGGGCCGTCCGTCCGTCTATACGACTGACTGACCGACTGACCGACCGACCGACCGTCCGTCCGTCTGACATTGACTGACCGACCGATTGAGCAGCCGTTCGTTGGCAACGGTTGCCTGGCTGAGTCCGTGAATAGTCGAAGCGATCGGTTGAAATTATATACTGAGAATTCCATTACGTCCGTTATCACTCTTCAAACACACAAGCTCCACCGTCGCTCTCCCCTGACTTGCTGCAGTGCCTTATACGGCTGAGCGGTTAATTTGTATGTAATTAAAGAGAGGCTTTATTGGAAGACAGAGGGAGAGACCCACGGGGTCGACGCTTTCCGACAGACGACGAACACACACGCAAGCGAGCGAGCGAAGTAACCAACCACGACGATGACGAGACCGCGGAGAACCAACAAAAAAAAAGAAGAAGATCCGGCGACGGAGGCACCGAAGGCTCAATGTGTACATAGCCCGTCGTTCATACGTTCATTGCACGATGGAGGACGGTGCTTTCGCGACAGTGCTTCAGCAACGGTACTGCCCAGAAACCCTACCTGCCCTAGTATAGGGATCGAATTTCTTAAAACGAATATACGGAAAACTTGAATGATTCTAGTTTACTTGGAGTTCGTCAAAACGAGTATCTGTCCGCTCATAAACGATCCCAGAGTCAGCTGTTAGATCGATCCCCGGACAAACGGCGCTCTGGCGCGGAGCGCTCGCGGCTTTTCTCGCCGCCGCCGCTGCTGCTTACTACCATGCACCGTGTCGGCGCTGTTGCCGGGGAACGATTTTCGTCCGCGCTGCCGATCGTGGGCGCGACTTGTACAGGTCCCATCGAGGACACATAGGTTCCCAATCTGGAGACTAATCCTAATTCGACGCAAAGAGGTTGTAAGTCTCGGTGCCAAACATTTTGTAAAGATTCGATACAGTCGACACTAAGGAAACAAAGACACGATGCGGACGACACCAGCCCATTAGCTTCTCTAAGCGTCGGAGATCATGTCCTCAAGCGGGATCAAGAATGGTTAAGGGGCTGTTGAGTCTATCCATGAGAGATCCTCGTAGAGGAGAGTGATCGAGGCTCAAGAGAAGTTCCGGGCTCATCGATGGGGTGGAATGCATACAATGTCCACAAATGCAAAGAAATGGCTCCCGCATCGATCCCCTGGCCGTCTCTTCCAAAACTTTTCTTGCGGCTCAAAATCCGAGCACCCCCGAATTACTCAGAGCACCTTCTGACCCACCCGCATTGATGTTTCCACTCCGACACCACACCTCAGATTGCTCCAATACAGATACGACGAAGCATTGAAAAAATGTACGAGAACTTGAGGAGAAAGCCAAGCTGTGAATACACGCTGTATTATAACTCTGTGATATAAAGACAAAACAATGTACACACACACTCGAGTGAGCGACTGAGCAGCGCCCGCGGAGCTCCCCGACTTACTTTGGAGAAGACGGGAGCTGTTCTGATGGAATGAAAGGAATCAAAAGGAGCACAAGTCAGCAGCGTGTGCGAGATGACCTCAAGTTTCTACTCGATCGCCGAAGAGTCTCACAATCTCTTTGATGAGATTCAAAATCATGCACCGCCTCACGAGCGTATGACTTGGAAGAGCTACTCACTCGCTTAGAAATTCTGCATCGGTCGACATACGATCGACGACTTGTAAACCGTACGGCTTCATAACACGGTAGTAAAATACAGAGTCCGTAGACGAGACTGAACCCGACGGAGACCCCGCTTCCGATCGCTGCGCCGGTTCGCTGAGAGATCAGCTGAGTTTATGAAGTACATACATCTGAATGCAACTCGCCCTTTCGGCGATGGTTCTTCTTAATCACGTTGTTTGTTGGATCTTTGTAGAAAAACGAAAATAAAAAAGGAAAGTGTGTCGAAAGAACGGCGAAGGAAGAATGGATAAATAATTCAGATGAATGACGGAATCCCTGGCGAGATGAGTATATGAGTATGAATGGATGAAAATCATCATCGCTTCCGGAAAGCTTCGAAACTCGCGGATTAAATTCCGTCACGCAGATCCGCCCGGTGTTAGATTGCGTCATCCAATAGGGATCGCGGAACGAGCCGGAGTCGGAGGCATTCGGAAGAAATCGAAAGGCGTTGCATGGAACATTAAGGCAGAGGACACTTGCAGACTCTTCTATAAATTATTGACTTTGGTATCTTCCGGGGATGATGTCGCCAAGCAAGAGAATGATGATCCTAATATTACAGATTATAATAAAGGTTTGTTTCTGGATGAAGAAGTGCTTTCGTGTTTATTTCATAAAGATATGCTGTATACGTGACGTCCGAAATCGTGCAACACGGCTGGCCTCCGCATGAAGCTGATGCCTAAACGTCGACGTCGAGCCCCCAACAGGGATGCGCGTTTTTCTCGGATCACGGTCGAAAAATTAAGCAGAATACGATGCATTCCACGGTAGGGTTGAGATCTGTGACAAATATCCGAGCCCAGTCTCTCGCTCGTTGGCCTGAGCTCTGTGACGGTCCACTTGATTGATCACGCAATGATTCTGTCTCGCCCCGCGAGCTCGTACCGGGGAGAAAAAGTTCTGGAATCGCTCAGGGGACGCAATATAATTGGGCTCTGGAGCGGACTCTGGATTTCGCATGAAAACAGCTCCCCCTCGGCCTCGGACGAAACTCATCCCCTCACCCCACCTCCCTCCCTCCCCGACTCGACGACGACTAGAAGGCACCTCCAATCCTCAGCTACAAGGTACTTGTTCAGGGAACTCCTATTTCCATGGAGCTCAACGTGAGAGTTCGGAAAGAACTGGTTCCGGGCGGGCTCGTCTTCGTGCCTTGTCATCACCGACCGGAAGCCGTGCTTGGGTTGAAACCCTTCTGCACCCTCGCCTCAGCATCAGACTGAGAGAGGACGAGTCTGGGTCTTCCGAGAACGGGGCAGAGAGGAAGTGAATCGGTGGATTTTCGCGTCGAATAACAATCCCCGACAAAAGGAAACAAATGCGCTCGTCTCGGACTTTTGAAGCGATGAGCCCCGACGGAGGCAGTGCTTGTGGGGTCAGGGCCGCACTCGGGGAGACGGGAGGAGGGAGCAAAGCAATCGGAGGCTACGGAACGATAGGACCACACCGACCAGCAAACCAGCCAGCTGAGCAAGCGAACAGCGCGAGGGGCTTAAGTAATTCGTTAAATGCAGACAAGGAGCCTGTTTTTACCCTTGAGCTCGGCGCGGCGTCACCCGGCTCCTCGAAAAAGCCCCTCGTACGGAAACGTAGGAGCCCGGTTTAGAGTAGAAGACCGAGAGTCAAAATGAGCCAGACGAAGAGCGGACCAAGAAATTGAATAACTCGGTTAGAGATACATACCACGGAGTCGGGACGGGCAGCCCAAGAGGACAAACAAACAGACGAGCAAACAAACAAGCAAGCAAGCAAGGATGAGAGAGGAATACAACAGCCGGCGGAGCCACGGACCGACGCAATGATAAATGCGCAAGCCTGAAGTTTGCCGCTGGCTATCCCGTTTCTTTGCATGCTTTGCCAGTTCCCCTTGCTTTTCTGCACGCAAAACCCTCGTCGCATCAGCAGCAGGAGCCACGATCGTGGCAGTAATAACGACCGCGAAAGCTTTGGATTTCAACTTCGGAACAGGAATGTGGAAACTCAGAAAGAGATCCGACCGGTCGTACATTCGATCCGATAACGTATCTCAGGTCTGGAGCTCAGGCCTCGAGTCCAGTGGGCTAAGTTCTCTGAACTCCAGACTGCTTCTAAATATTAGCGCCCAGATTCGCCTGACAGTTTCAGCTTGGCCGTCTCAATCGCTCCGGCAGCTCCCAGGATTGGTTGAATGAACGACCTAATCCAACCAACGGAAGACAACTCGTCAAGTGATCTGCGGAATCATGGAGGAATTTACTTAATTGACATCGAAGAACAAGCTGATGAGCGGCATTGATGCATGACGGAAGAGCTCTAGCGCTCACTGTGATCTTGACTCCCTGATTTAACTTTTTGAGCGGAGGAAGAGTCTTCTTGGAAAATTCGGCACCGACGGCTAGAGCAATCATGAGACCGACACTGGCAACAATGAGCGCGGCAAGTGAAACAAAAACAGACGCAATGAACAGTTCCGACAGATCGGCAATTCTGTTCGACTTCGTCGCTCGTTTCTGCCTGCCGTATTTCTTTTTGTTCTTTTTTGTGTTCGATGTATTTGTCAGTTTGTGTGTGGAAGTGTGTCTGTTCGTCTAACACGCAAGAAAGCAGCAACAGGCAACGTGGGAGCCTAGCGAGCAGGTTTGTGAGATTGCTTCTTCCACCTCGCTTAACAGCAGCGGCAGCAAACGACGACAATACTCCGTCGACGAAGGGCGCGCACCGAAACCAGATCTGCCCTCCGTCAGTTGGACCTCCGCGAACCCCCAATGCGAACGAAAGGTATGTGGATGATTCTTAGTCCATCCGGCTCTCCGATCTGCTCGATTCCGGGGGAGAGGGGGAAGAGCGATCCTATGTCGCTTCAGCCCGGAACGGGGTCTAGGATTGGGGGGCGCATCTTAAGGGAATTCAGCGATACACACATGTCTTTGCGGCCGATGAGGGAAGCTTGTATTGAATGTGTATGTGTATACCTGGAGGCTTTCTTCCGACTGAGATGGCAGTTCCTGCCCGCGAAAGCT